GGGAAGATTTTCTGGTGCTAAGACACCTGAAGAGGGACAAGAGAAAAGTCTACTGGAGAGAGAGACTGCATACAAACCAAGACGGTGATGAGGGCTTCAGAGGGAAGCAGAGGCTCACTGCCAAGCCCAGGGGGAGAACCCACCCTTGCCCCGAGAGCAGGAAAAGCTTTAGCTGCCCCTCACTCCTAGCTCTGCACAAGATAAGGTGCACTGGAAGGAAGCCCCATGTATGCGCCAAGTGTGGGAAGAGCTTCACCTACCCCTCAACCCCAGCTGCTCACCATCACATCCATTCTGGACAGCTCCCCCACCACTTCACCAAATGGAGGAAGAGCTGTATGTGCAGGTCAGAGCTGTTTAAGAAGCAACAAGTGCACAGGGAGACCCGTCGCTATTGCTGTGTCATGTGTGCTAAGACCTTTACTCATTTCTTCTCCCTGGTTCAGCACCGTCGCATGCACTTGGGGAGGAAGACGCACCGCTGCACCGAGTGCAGGAAGAACTTCATCAGCTGGCAAGGCCTGTCCCAGCACCAGTGTTTGCAGAGGGGACAGCAGCCACACTGCTGCAGCAAGTGTGGGAAGAGCTTCAGGCAGCCCTCCAGCCTGGCTAAGCACAGGTGCATGCACACAAGGAAGAAGCTACGTCAGTGGTCTGTGTGTGACAAGAACGTCACCCACTCCTCCACCCTGGCCAAAGGTCAGCTCATCTACACAGCCAGGAAGCCACATCAGTGCTTGGCATGTGGGAAGAGCTTCACGCAGTCATCCAGCCTAGCTCAGCACCAACACATCCACCAGACAGGGGAGAAGCCACATCATTGTGCTGTGTGTGGGAAGAGCTTTGCCCGCTCCTGCCACCTGGCCCGACACCAGCTTTCCCACAAAGGAGAGAAGCCGCATCACTGCTCTGTGTGTGGGAAGAGCTTCACCTACTCCCACAACCTGGCCAAGCACCAACGCATCCACACAGGGGAGAAGCCACATCATTGCTCTGAATGTGGAAAGAGCTTCTCCTACTCCTGCAACCTGGCCCGGCACCAGCTCGTCCACACGGGGCAGAAAGCACATCAGTGCTCTGTGTGTGGGAAGAGCTTCCCCTACTCCTCTGATCTTGCCCGGCACCAGCTCACTCACACAAGGGAGAAGACATATAATTGCTCCAAGTGTGGGAAGAGCTTCACCTACTCCTACAACCTGGCCCGGCACCAGCTTATCCACACAGGGGACAAAACACATAAGTGCTCTGTGTGTGGGAAGAGCTTCCCCTACTCGTCTGACCTGGCTCGGCACCAACTTACTCACACAGGGGAGAAGCCACATCAGTGCTCTGAATGTGGGAAGAGCTTTACCTGCCCCTCCAGCCTGGCCCGGCACCAGCTTATCCACACAGGGGAGAAGCCACATCACTGCTCTGTGTGTGGAAAGAGCTTCACCCAATCCTCCAACCTGGCCCTGCATGAGCGCATGCACAAGGGAGAGAAGCCACATCAGTGCTCTGAGTGTGGGAAGAGCTTCATCTCCTCCTCCAACCTGGCCCAGCACCAGCTTATCCACACAGGGGAGAAGCCACATCAGTGCTCTGTGTGTGGAAAGAGCTTCACCCAATCCTCCAACCTGGCCCGGCACCAGCGCATCCACACAGGGGAGAAGCCACATCAGTGCTCTGTGTGTGGGAAGAGTTTCCCCCGCTCCTCCCACCTGAAGAAGCACCAATGCATCCACAAGGGAGGGGAGCCACATCATTGCTCTTAGTGTGGGAAGAGCATCACCTTCTCCAGCCTGACTGAGGACCAGAGCATCCACACAGGAGAGAAGCTACATCGATGCTCTGAGTGTAGAAAGAACTTCACCCATTCCTCCCACCTGTCCCAATATTGGCACATCAATACTTCTCTGCCAGCAGTGCAGGAAGGGCTTGGGGGTATCTACCTGCTCAGCACCCACCAGTGGCTGCATTTAGACAAGCACCCTCATGCTGGTGGACTGCAGAAAGAGTTCCCCCAGGCTTCATCCCTTGTAGGACACTGGAGAAACCCAGAGGCCTGGCCCCCAAGGTTTGTTGTGGGGAGGGGCTAAGAGGAAACACCTTAGGCAGAGGTCAGCCCAGTTGCTCAGGGAGGAGACAAGATGATTTTTGCAGCAGCGTTGGAGCCTATGCATTCCCCATTGTTCTCTAAAAGCAGTTGGTACTCCCAGGGGATGAAGAAGCGCCTTCACGCTAGGGTACTCTTCTCCAAGATTACTGGCTTCAAATGATACCCAGGGACTGTCCTTGGCTGCCTACTAGCTTTCTCTTTCCTCTTGTTCCCTATGTTCTGGTATATGAGGCTCTGAGTTGCAGGAAGGAGGACATTAATAGCTGGAGAAGCATTCCCTGCTCTCCACCCTGACCTTGCCTTTCCTCACTACCACATCACCCCTCTCCCAGACCTCCCCATGCCCAGTGGGGTCTGCAAGTAGCTGCTACTGCCGCCCCCAGAGCCTTTTTGGCCTGTTTTGCTTTTCAGCCTCTCCAGAATTGTGTAGCACTGGGCTCCTGATGCTCCCCTCTGCTGTCTTCCCCTCCCTCCCTTCATTGCTTTCTCTCTAATGCATTCCCTGCTACTAAAGCCTAGAACTGAACATGGTACCCTGTGGTTGGTGTCTTGTGTCCTTTCCAGAGCTGTGCAATGAGAACAGACCAAGGCCTACAGCCCTTTCTAGGGCAGATCTCTGTGACTTCCAAGCCCTTTCTTTTTCCAAAGGACTTAATACAATGTGGAGCTGGTTGCTAACCCTGAAGAGCTGGAGTTGGACCCATTCAAGGCCTCTCTCCCATGTCTTGCTGTGCAGCAAGGATCCTGGCCTTTTGAATGAACCCTGCTCAGGAAGCAGTAGAGTCCCTTTTCTGAGAGCAATGGAGTAGCAGGGGTGGAGGAGGTGCAGCCAGTGGCAGGTCCTACCACCCCTCTGGAAGGGTGAGGAAAGTATGAAGACATCCTCTGGGTGAAAAGCAGCACAATGTAATCTCCCATTGGGAATACTGAGGTCTTCCTGCTTCCAAAAGCCATTTGGCTCCATGATGATCCTAGGGACACGTACTACCTGAGAAACCCCTGTAAGCTCCTGGCAGAGAGTCTGGCCCTACTGCTGCTACACCCCCCCCCACCCCCCAGGGATGGAGGAGTGCAGGGAGGGAGACCTTCCCCCTCCCTGGGAGCCCCTGAGCTCTTCCAGTGTGCAGGCAGAGTCAGGGGAGCATGTTCAGACAGGGATAGCTGGGCTGCACCTTAGGGCTTCCCAATAAGATAGGCACCTGGGGCTGCCCACAACCCAGGCAGCAAGTGGGGAGGAGGGTAGGTGAGGGGCAGGAGCCAGAGACCCAGCCCTGGGTGCTGGGGAGCAGAGGTCAGAAACAGCAGCCCACAAAGCTCAGCCTTTGCTCTCTGTTCTCCTGGGATGGAAGCAGGACATGAGATCTCTGAGCTGCTCCTGGCCATGAGCAGAGGCAGCAGTGGGAAGCAAAGCCTTTGGCAGGGGGGCTGGGGTGGGGCATGGGGAGGCTGCTCAAGGGCTTGGTGTTGCTGCCCCTGCCCATGAATGCCCTTGCCAGCTCCCTTGGATGGAGAGAGCAGGAGGGGGCTGAGGGTTCAGCGAGGCTTGTGAGCAACAGGAGTGATGCAGTGGCTAGAGGAAGCCCTCTCCTCTTTTCCTCCATGGACTGGACTTGTCTCTTCTCGGAGTTCTGTTTCTGCTGGTTTCTGCTCTGTGCTCTCCCTCCAAGTCCTTCATGAGCCACTCTGGCCTCTGGGACATCGTCTCTGTGGGCTTCCTTGCCCCTGCCTTGGCCGGTGTGAGCAGTGTCTTGTTGTGCACAATTCATTGCAGTCTCAGTCACAAGGTCAAATGTGTGTGCGCCTAGGAGGAATCCCAGCATGTCTCACTCCTGGAGCTCAGAGGACAGGACACCTCGGGGATGGGAAGAGAAGGGTGTTTTACCACTGAACTGCCCTGCGCAGGGCTTCAGACTGCTGCTGGGCAGACAATGCCAATGACCCATATCCAGTGTTCAGAATTTTGCAAATGCCTTCTCAGTTTGAAAAGTGGAATATAAATGAAATGAATGAGTGAGGATAATGTGACAAGGCCACACAGGGAGTCACCCTGAGGATGACAATTGCTGGTCTGAAACTTTCCTTTTCAAACTTCTTTAATCATAACTGCTTCTGTCCCAGGGCCCCCACACAGGCCAATTGGAGCTTGCATGTGGGATGCCTGCCATGGATGTGGGAGTATGTGAGGCCCCAGCGGGAAGAGTCTGGGAGGGAGGAGACAAGGTTTGGCTGATTTGGCTTGAGACCAGGACATTTCAAAACTTAATAATAAAAGTGCCCTTCCCCCACTTCTCAGCTTTGGGTCAGGATCAGTATTGCTGAGCTTTTTCCCCAGCCCTTCCCCTCCTCCAAAGGCATGTGGAGCTGCTGGAGAGATCAGCTATCATCTGTGTGGTGTGTCTACACATGCAATTAATGCACACAAATAAACTTGGGCTTATTGCTCCAGAGTATTTTGCTCCTGGGCATGCCATTTGAACGTACACCCTGGAGCAACAACTCCAAGGAATATTGCTCTGGACTTTCTACGTGCACAGCACATCCAGCTGCTCTGACGGGGTTGCAGCACCTTGCAGCGGGGTGGCTGGGGCACAGGCTAGCTGGCAGCTGGCCGCAGCAGTGTGCTGTTACACATAAAAAAACTGGAGCAGACTGGCACTTGGCTGCTCCAGAGTTGATTCGTTTTGTGCACCCTAATAGGAGCATGTGTAGATGCAGAGACGTTTCCTGCAGAAGTAGTCGAGCAGCTGTGCAGTAAACATTGTATGTAGAGTTCACCCTGTGGGGAGAAAACTGGGCCCTTTATGGCCCCCTCCCAGAGGGGCAGAGGGCTGTGGCAGAGTGGGGGCTGTAGTGGGCTCTGAGGGCAGGTCTCTGGTGCCCGAGGGGAGGAGGCTTTTCCCCCTCATTTCCACCTCCACCCGGGCCTCTGGGGTCTGCCCCAGTGATGAAAGGACAAACAGATCCACCAAACCCTCGTCCCCAACCAGGGCTGCAGATGACAGGCTCCTTTCCAGCCTGGAAGATTCAAGGCACCTGTGCACATGGATGATTTTCCAAATGTCCCCTAGGGCCCAAGGGAAAACTGTCTCAGAGCCTGGGGGGCAGTTAGCTGTTGCCCTTCCCCTTGAGCAAGGTGGGAGGGACACAAAACACAGTCGGGTATGCAGGGGTAGCAGTGATGCAGGGGAAATGTCTCCCACACCAGCTAGACGTGGCTGTGTCTGGGTAGCGACTATTTATCGTAGGACTGCTGCCCATCCAGGGCCAGGGCCTGACAGCCTGCACTCTCACTCCCGTGTTACCCCCTCCATGGACACGGTTAGGAGGGTTGTTGGGCTCTGACTCCTGGCTTCCCGTCCTATCCCAGGTGGGGTTGCTGTGCTCCGGTGCACGTTACCTGGCCCCCCGCGTGGTGGAAAGCTGGACCCCTCCACCGGTGTGGACTAATTGCGTGGGGTTTTCTGTCCCCAACACAGTGATGCATGTGCGTGGTCTCAGGGCAGCACAGGGCTTGGACCCAGAGGCGGCTAAGGAGCAGGCAGGTCACCCCTAGGTAAGAGGAGCCTGTTCCTATGTGCCGTGGGCCCTGCAAGGGGCTTGGTGTGGGCACGGGGGCTCCTCCCTCCCTCCCGGAGCGGTCAGCCGGCGATGGGCTCCGCGGGGGGGGCTGGGGGGCG